ACAGACAGACACACAGACAGACAGAAAGACACACAGACACACAAACAGACAGACAGACAGACAGAAAGACACACAGACAGACACACAGACAGACAGTCACACAGACAGACAGACACACAGACAGACACACAGAAAGACAGACAGACAGACAGACACACAGACAGACAGACAGTCAAACAGATACAATTCTTTAAAAAAGGTTTTTTAATTAATTAGCAAATTAATTAATTTGCTAATTAATTGACTAATTAGTTTATCCTGCATTTTACATGAAACCCAAAGTGTAAAATAAAACATTATCTTTCATTATGAATCATATGGATGTTTGAATCATCTCCACTGTACCTGACTGTACACACATTAAATTGGTATACATTTCTATGCACTACAGAGCTTATGTGGGTAATATTGATCAAATAATAATAAATATACCAGTAACAAGAAACACGGGTTATTGTTAGAATTATTGAAATCATTGTTCATCAATAGCAGTGGATGCAAATGAAGTATTAACCTCAGTAGCGGCTGTAGCAAGAGAGGCTGACGTGCCTATTGAGGAGCCGTCACGGGGTTTGGCACGGGGCCTCATGAGCTCCTCTTTGTTGTACTCAGGTTTGACTAAAACAACGTAGCACTTGGGGAGGAAGATGCAGGCAAGCAAACCAAAGCTGGAAGCTAGAATGGCAAAAATCTGAACAGCAACCATGAACTTTCCACGCGTGCTGAGGTAGGCCGGTACGAAGGAGATCCACACGATGAAGAAGACCAGCATGCCAAAGGTCATACCTTTCGCCTCGCTGGAGGGCAGAGTGAAAAACATTCACAATGGATTAGCTGAACCATTTGGTGGGTTGCATTTTTTTAGTGTTTCATGTGAATGTGTGATGTTTTTTATCTGGAACTTTTGTTACATACCTGAAGTTGTCTTCAAGTTTACGGGCTATGAAGGCAAAGATGAAAGCCAGCAGAGCCAGAAAGATGTCATATCCAAAAATGCAACAGATAAAGACCACAGAGCCTTCATCACACTCCAGAATAATCTTTACGTTCTGGGCAGCGGTGTTCTTTACTGGGTGGGGAGGGAGGAGGATGAGCCACACGGTGCATGCTATGGCCTGAAGAGCAAAAATGTCAAGTCATGCTTATCTGGTCAGAAACAGGGACAGATTCTTGGTATGTTACTGAGCTGTTTTATTTTATACATGTGTATATTACTACTTATTTTATATTTACCTGTATTAATGTGGCCACAGCAGCTATTGCCCTTTGATGGCCACAGGTGAGAATATCAACTTCCGGTTTATCAGATGCCTCGTTGTTACTGCTGCTGGTTACGATCACATCAGGACTGCCGCTGTTTGCTGCTGCTTCAGCTGCAGCTTTAGCAGCTTTGGCAGCTGCCTTGGCTCTTGCTCGGGCCTTTTTCAAAGCTTGAGCTCTGAGCATCAGCACCACTGACTTACCTAAAGCAAAGGAAAAAGTTGGTATACCTTATATACTTCAACTTGATTTTGTCATGTCTAATGTGTGAGGATAAAGCACAGAACTCATATACCAGTAAAGGGGTCAAAATATCCACTAGCATCCTAACTATGCAGTTGAAAACCTTGTCTTGCAGTTTGCTGCACAGCTTTGAAATAAAATGTGCAATCTATACCCTAAAAGATCTGGCTTGAATGGGAATAGTGTGTTGTGACTTTTGATGGTGGTACGTCGCACATTGTAATAAAAATGCAAATAAACTGCCTGAAAAATGGAGATCAGCGTGAGTTCTGCACCAAGCACACCCAGCTGTTTGCAAAGAGATACGGTTCAGGAAATCGTTAGTAGAAACAGCATTTAAAGTCTGATAGCTCACAGAAAGTTGTTTTTTAAAAGGCTAAAGGGACTCTTCAAAATCATTTTGTTTTTACACAACTGCAGTATAATTTAGGTGATTTTTACAATTTCCTATTTCTAAATGGTCGAAAGAAATTGTAATCAAAATATTTTACTCCCAGAACTCTTTGTGGTCTCAAATTGTACAAATATGTGTACTTTTACCCATTGTGTCTCACACTGCTAAAAGACAAAGTTTTCTCTCAAATCCTCCAACAGTGCAGAGTGTGCACAGTCAATCTCCCACAGAATTAGTTATATTTTAGCTCAAACTACGTCCTTCAAAGCTGAAAATAAAGGGGGAGGGGGGAAGATGGTGGCAGCATGTTAGCTGGGCTCCATCCATTACTGCCTAAAAACTGCCTTTCGGGAGAATAATCTCACTGCCTCTGCATTGGATGCTCCAGGAGTTGGCCTTGTCGTGTCACTGACTCAGCAGAGCTGAAATATGGCATTGAAATAGAAGAAATATAAGACTACAGGTTAGAACAGTCGTTTCTAGGCCCGAAGCCCGGCTCATCCTGATTCAAATTCGGGGCAGAGCAGGCCATAATAATGTGCTGGATGGGCGGACCAGGTCGGTGTCAGGCTTTTGATTGCATCAGCAGACGCACGCGGATGACAATCCAAATATATGGCAACATGGCTTGCCATATGTTCACTAACCGCACACAGCCATTTGACCACGCACTGACCGGCCAGTTGAAAGAAGTTTATAAAAAGTTCACTTAAGCTTCAAATGGACCCCTGCCAGTGATCCATCCAAAGCACAAATGGAAGTTCATTCAGCCACTCCACTCGGACATGTACGGCCGACGACCCAAACAGGTGAGATCCCAAAATATCCTCGCAGACATCAGAGCAGGGTCTGTGTCTGAATAATGCAGAATGCAGGCAGAAGCAGGGATTTAATACACTTTGACGACCATGAAAGGACAAAGACCCCCTCAGCTCCAATCATCTGCTCCCTTTTATTCAGCCGCGTGCGCCCGCCGACCGTTAATAACTATATAAGCAGTCAAAGTTTAATTAAAAGGTCGGTAGGGGGTTCAGGTTCGGACCTGTAATTACCGTTAATTTGTTGGATCGGGTCGGGTTTGGAAAGTATGGTTTCAGGCTGGGGCTGGGTCGAGTTGGATTTTTTGGGGCTCAAATGCAACTCTACTACGGGTTCTGTGGCCACTGAGCCTGACACCGCCTCAGGCTATGGTACTTCTAAAGCCAGGGACTTGGGACCGTTTTCTAGTTAATTTCTATTTTTAACTGACCCATGATGGAGGAGAGGCAGAGAGCAAAGCCGAGAGCTAAAGCTACTTGGCTGGTCATGCAGCTCCAGTGTTGTGGCTCTCCGAGGAAGACAATGGAGCAGAGGAAGGTCACAACCAGGGAAAGGAGCAGCGAGAAACTCAGCAGGACGTCGTTGGCTTTGACCAGAGGAGTGCCGATGTACATAACAAACACAATCTGGAAAAAATGTGAAAAAAATGTCTGACCCTTTAGTTCCTTAAAATCCAAAAAAGAAGTGATTAGTTGTTATTGTTGCACAATTCTCACCCCAACAGCAATGGCTACTAACGCTCCAAAGGCAGATATGACGATTAGAGTAATTCCCAGTGGTTCTCCAAAAGCCAAGAACTCAATGATTTTTGGCACACAAGCATCATGAGCGCTGTTTGACCAGTCATCTCCAGTGCACAGGATGCATTCACGGGCATCTGTCCAAAACGGAAAAGACACATTTTATAAAGTCAGGGTTTATGGTGTCTCTTTTGATCTTTTAAGCATTTTCTGTTTTGATGACACTGGAGTCATTGATATAACATACAGTTTCAAATATGGTGCAAATGCACTTTAGTTGTTCAGTATTTGCACTGTTTCCATTGTGGTTTTAGACAAACAGGTTTATTGTACAGGCTTTAAAACTCCAAGGTGTGGGGGTAATTATTATTTTACAGAACTGCGAAAATTCAGAAAAGGGTCAAAGTAAACTAACACACACACAAAAAAAAAAACCCATAAAGGTCTAGAATTATTTTGAGGAGAAAGCATTTCATGCCAGAGTTTTAGAGTAAGATCATCTTATGTTAAGAAATGACTAAACAAGTTGCTCAGAATGTGTTTGAGATCTGTTTCAGCTAAGGATAATACAAACACTACACTGGTATCTACAGTATTTTAAGCTTCTAAAAGCATTTTATTTTACAGAGTTTGGGTTAAAAAAAGCAAACTTTTTAAGAAAAATAAAAACACAAACACAAGTAGTCCCTCGCTACGTCGTGGTTCGACTTTCGCGGACTCGCTCTTTTGTGGTTTTTCAAATTAAGATTGTACACAAAAAATTAATTTGTACAGGACACATGCTTGTCAACTTTAATATTACCCATGCGATTGGGACAGTACTGGATACTATACAGTAAAAAGTTAACCAAAAGAAATACTTCGGACTGGCGCAGCCATTTTGTAGTTTTCTCTCAATGAGCCTATACTGTATTGCCACTCAAAAAGACTACATTTCCCAGAAGCCAACAGTGCCCCGCCCAGAAGCCCCATTGCCTTCTGCTGAAATACTAGAGGGAAAGTTTTTAATCTGATCCAAAAAAGTTTGGTCCTTATTCATCCAGTGACTTGGGCGCCCAGCGGACGCAGAAAGCCGACCAGAACCGACGGGGAACCGGACCAGAACCGGACCTCCAGACTCATCAGTGAATCTGAGTGCTGGCCCATGAGGCCTTTCGAGCGGAGAGGCTTTTTTCATTTGGATTTGGACTTCATCAGGACCACAATGGCTCACTCCAAACGTGTTTTGGTGCTCAAGAGCTGCAGAGTGCCGACCAGAACCGGCAGGGTAGGTCTGCCGGACCAGAACCGATCTGCTGTTGTTCTGCAGAGCTGGTGAGTAAAGTTTTGCAGTACTGTGCAGTACATATATCTATGTTGTTACAATGACGTAGGTTTAAGAGTTTAGAACATTGTAAGGGTGTGGGAAGGGTTTATAAAGACTTAAAATATATAAAAATAAATATAACATTCACAGATTTTCACTTATTGCGGGGGGGTTCAGAACGTAACTCCCATCAATAAACGAGGGACTACTGAAGCTGATATATTGAAGGAATATTCAGACATTTGTATACTGACTGGTTGTGTTGCTGATTTCTCCGTCTGCACACAGGATGCAGTCAAAGCAGCAGACTGGTTCCCCCTGCCGGATCCCCTTCCTGGTGCCAGGCTGACAGTTCTCGCTGCACACCGACCGAGGAGGCTTAGACACAAAAACCAGACAACTGTAGCAACAGTGTGGTGATGTAAAATGTGTCTAACATTTTGTCCCGATCGATTTTTCAGCTTACCTCCAAAACATCATTGTTCCAAATAATAGAGTTGTTCTTTATGTGCAGCTTTTCCTCTGCAGCTGCAGATCCATTGTAGTGGCCCACAGTGACGTAAGATATCTCCCCATCACCACTGACCTGCCAGTTAATGATGTCATAGAAGCCCTTGATGTCTCCGTCTTCAAAGTAGATCTCCTCGTTTGTGTTGGGCATTTTGTAATTCACATTCTTCATGTAGTACATCAACTGGAAAATACAGATATACAGTTTATTAGAAGGAGTGCCCCCACACACACACACACACATACGAAAAAAATGTATAAATATGTGCATGCCTACCTGCCATGGCTCAAAATTACTGATGTTAGCACAGCTGCTCCCAACAAAGGGTCCTTCTCCTGGTACACAGTGCTCCAGGTTGTGTAAAGCGTGGGCCACAGCATACACTGCTTTGTAAACACTGAATACCTCTTTTATCTTAATACCATCATTGTAAAAGATATACACTGCCTGGCCAAAAAAAAGTTGCCACCAAAACAAAGGTCACACTAATATTTCGTTGGACCTCCTTTAGCTTTGATTACATCATGCATTCTCTGTGGCGTTGTTTCAATAAACTTCTGCAATGTCACAAGATCTATTTCCATCCAGTGTTGCATTAATTTTTCACCAAGATCTTGCACTGATGACCAGGCACTAGACATGATGGGTGCATCACTTCATCTGCCTCTCTTCTTACCCTGATGCACCCATCACTCTGGAACAGAGTAAATCTGGACTCATCAGACCACATGACCTTCCATTGCTCCAGAGTCCAATCTTTATGCTCCCTAGCAAATTGAAGCCTTTTTTCCAGTTAGCCTCACCGATTAGTGGTTTTCTTAAGGCTACACACTGTTCAGTCCCAGTCCCTTGAGTTCCCTTCACATTGTGTGTGTGGAAATGCTCTTACTTTCACTATTAAACATAGCCCTGAGTGCTACTGTTGTTTTTCTTCTATTTGATTTCACCAAACGTTTAAGTGATCACTGATCACCATCACCCAGGATTTTTTCCTGGACACATTTCTTCCTCAAAGACGATGGGTCCCCACTATCCTTCCAGTTTTTAATAATGTGTTGGACACGACATAGTCCATGCTCAATAATCCAGGTATAAAATCCAACATTTTTCAGTCAGGTCATCTGGACAGTTTCTTTTTTTTTGTGCTGAAACATTTCGCCTTCGATCCGGAAGGCTTCATCAGTCAAGGAAACGCACAACAAAACTGATTCTTCCCCAAACAGCTTACTCCAAAGTGGAACAAACCAGTTATGTTGGTGCTCAGATGGTCTCTTTGTCACGCCCCCTCCTCCATTGCCGGCCCTCTTCCTTGTTGATAGTCACATCAAACTGGTTGAAAACAACAACTGTCAACAAGGAAGAGGGCCGGCAATGGAGGAGGGTCCGTGACAAAGAGACCATCTTAGCACCAACATAACTGGTTTGTCCCACTTTGGAGTAAGCTGTTTGGGGGAAGAATCAGTTTTGTTGTGCGTTTCCTTGACTGATGAAGCCTTCCGGACCAAAGGCGAAATGTTTCAGCACAAAAAAAGAATCTGTTCAGACGACCTGACTGAAAAATGTTGGAATGCTTTGGACAGTACTTAACCCAATTTGAGTAGTTTCTTCAATCTCCTTAGATGTTTTCTCTGCTTGATGCCAATGATTTGAACCTTCTCAAACAGAATGACATATTTTCCACGACCACACGATGTGTCTTTCAACATGGTTGTTTAAGAAATGAGAAGCAACTCATTGCACCAGTTGGGGTTATATAACTTGTTGCCAGCTGAAAGATAATTGTCCATGCAGTAATTATTCAACAGGAGGCTCGAACCTATTAAATCCAGGTGGCAACTTCTTTTTGGCCAGGCAGTGTATATTGTCCATTGTGTGAGAGTAATATTGAACTATAAAATGAACTGAAGTTCCATGCACCACATTAATAGTTTAAATAATAGTTAAATGGCTGCTATAACAACAAGAAAAAAAGGCATATCTGAATGTTTGAGTTGTAGCGACTGACCTGTAAGTGATTCGTAACTGCGAGACGTCAGAGTATGTGTTATTGAGTTGTGCCACGGACTCAGTCCCAGTGCACAGACCATCTGGTATCCCCCTCGCTACTCTGGACATGGTGCCATTCAACTCTCTGGCCATCCTCAGAGCTCTGCCATAGTCCAGTGTGCAGTTAAACAACTACAGAACAAAATCGCAAAAAGTGCATATTTTTCCATCTTTGTAGGTTGTCATATGGAGTGCGTTTGTTTAGTTGTCACTAGAGATGCACTGTAGTTTGATTCTGATTCTTTTGTATAAATTATTGACACCATGTCGTAAACGCACCTTCCCCCAGAACTCCTCAGTGAGTGCATCAGCGTAAGGGTCCAAGTCCAGTAAGTGGCGCTGAAGACCAGGGATGTCAGCCCTCTTCACCCCAAAACCCAGGGTACCAGACAGGATTGAGTTCACCTAGGTAAAAACAATACATCTTCAGCATCAAGGGACAGTTTTAATAAGTGACACATGGACAAAATGTCTCTGCCTCTTTTGTTTGTTCAGAACTGAAGCCACAACATGACAGCACTGAATTGTATTTTGGGGATTTGAGTCTGCGCACTAGCCGTGCGGAGCTTTAAGTCCTGGCCACTCTTCTGCACGCAGTCATGGTGCTAGATGAGCTTTTTATTAGCATGAAATAAGTGATTACAGATAAATGTACTGGAAAAAAATATTCAATTCAGTTTATTTATTTATTTAGCACCAAGTCTCAACAGAAGTCGTTTCAGAGCACTGAACAGAAACAGTCACATACGTAAAAGTCAATTAGTAAAAGTTATTTATCTGAGGAAGCAGCGGATTGTGTTCAGTCTTCACTTCGTTGCAGTCTCCTACCCTGAGCAAGCACAAAGGCAACAGTGGGAAGGAAAAACTTTCTTTTAACAGGAAGAAACCTCCAGCAGAACCAGACTCAGGATGAGCGGCCATCTGCTTTGACTGGCTGGTTTGAAAGGAACAGGAAGGAGAGACAAACAAACAATTTAGAGTTACCAATCAGCCGAACATGCATGTTTCTGGTCTGTGGGAGGAAACAGACATTTTGTTCGAACATACAGTAGCAACTTAAGAAACACAAGAGTTGTTGTTTTTCTTTTAACAGTCCCCATGTGCAGGGACCGTCACAGCGAGCAAACTATGAAAGATTTGCTAATTGTTTTAAGCTAGATGACCTTCCTGAAGCTCGAACCTGCAGCAGCCTCAGGATTACAAGACTTCACACAGAGACTGTTACTGAAGCCCACATGAACCAGAGCCAGCTGCTGAGGTGTACTTTTATCTTCAAGGGCAGGGTCTCGTTTGTTTAAGAGGAGTGGGCAGGACTTAACACTTGTACTAAAACCAGGTGCTGTTCCCATTTCAGCTTTAGTTTTCTGGGTTTCCAAGGGATGTCTAGCTTTCTTTAACAGTCGATGGTTTAATCTTTAAATCTTTAAATTGAAAATATTCTGAATAATTAATATCTCATAGATAGCTCTTTGATCAACTTCAGTTTACGGAAACAAAGTTTCATAGTTTTGTTTTTATTTAAGGATCCACATTAGTCTACAGTAGTACTAGAGCCTACTCTTTCTGGGGTCCACGCCCACAAGCATTACATTTTAGTGATTACAGTGAATTAATGAATTATTAATTAATGAATACAGTGAATTTAATGAATTTACAAGTTACAATATTACAATCATTACAACTCAAAACATCCAATAAATAAATAAATAAATAATAATGATAATAAAAAAGACACAAGAACAATTTTTGACTACAATAATTCCAAACATTGCCAAAAGACAAGAAAAACTAAGAGATAAAAACTTCTGGATTTGGATGGCGCAGTGGCTCAGTTAGAGCGACAAGGTCACTGGATCAAATCCCGGCACGAGACCTCTCTGGGTGCAGTTTGCATGTTCTCTCCGTGCATGCTTGGGTTTTCTCTGGGTACTCCGGTTTCCTCCCACAGACCAAAAATATGCATGTTAGACTGTTTGTGTGATGCTGATCTCATACTGCTGATCTATTTCATGTTGCTGTGTTCATTCATTCTCATCTGCTCACACAGACTCATGTTCGTGCTGCTGTTGTTTGCCGCATTAGTTTGTACTATTAATGCTTAGTGCATTCTTAGTTTAGTGTATTTCTTAGTTCATACAGTATCTTAGATCTTATTACTGTTTTTCTTTATAATTTGTATTTTTGTTGGATATAAGTGGGACCATGTGTACATAGTTTCATTCCACTTCATGTACCACTTGTGATGTGAATGGCAATAAAGAACCTTAAATCCTTGAATTTATAAAGGCAAGTACTTACTTACTTTTACTTAAGAAAAAACGTTAACGTGGTACTTCTACTTTTACTAGAGTACATTTTTGTCTGTTTATTTATACTTTTACTTAAGTACAGTGTTTGAGTACTTTTTTCTCTTTGTCCTCCGGTGAAACCAGACGTGTCTCCCTGGTCTCCCCCCCCCCCCACCCAGCCCTACCCGCTTCCATGCTGCACTCTTTTGTCCTGTGAACCCTTAAAAAGCCTCTTTTTTCCCCCTGCATATCTCTTAATTCGAAGGTTCAACTGGTCTCTCAACAAAACAAATTGGATTCATGATGACAACTGGTTATTTTGCTGTTTGGCTGGTGAATTCTGGATTGTCTACAAATTCGTGTGGATGTCAAAACTCGACAGTGCTCAGACTGAAGTTGTGGAGCTGCAGCAGGGAGCTGGAGCAGCTGTTATCAGGACTGTGAACTTTCTGGCAGCACCCATGAATGGTGGGAATAATCTCGGAGAAGCTGTGAGCTCAACTTTTGGCGTAAAGGATCATTTCGGGTATTTTGGAGTTCCATCAGAGGAATATATACCAGCGAGGCTTTAAAAAGGCAGAAACAACAATTACGAGTTCTGCCTGAACCAAACTGTGGCCTTGACGCTGGACTTATCTCAACTCCTCCTGGAATGTTTTGAAAACAACAAAGATGCTTTGACTGTCTCCTCACCCCTCCCTTCCCCAAGGCCGTGGACATGTAACAGAACCTCAACTGAGCTGAAGATGAATGTCACCTCTTATCTGGACAATGGCTGGGGGGGTGGGGGGGTGGGGGGGCTCTGGACTATGCTACAACTTTCCCTTAAAATTCAATGTTTTCACCGCCTATATGTACATGTATAACGTCTGTTAATGTTTCTTTGCTGTGGTAGGTTTTTTTGATGCCTCAAATCGTGCCCTGTCTAGGACACGGTGTGAGAGATCTTTTTTTTATACCGTCTCTCCTCATGTTTTCTTCCCTTTTCTCATCTAAGCAAAATATTATTCTGAATAAGAATAAGAAGGCCACGCTAATTATTTATAGCCGCAGCTTCGTGCACTACGTCCATCTTTCGGACGACTGTACGTACATATTCGCGTTGTATCTCGGTGCAATGCCAATAAAGTTTATTCTGATTCTGATTTATCCACCACTGCCTTGGTGTGAGTGAGAGAGTGAATGGTTGTTTGTCTCTGTGTGTCCCTGTGATGGACTGAAGACCTGTCTAGAGTGTCCCCCGCCTCTCACACAGTAACTGCTGGATATGGGCACCAGTGATGCCCATGACCCGGATGGATGGATGGAACCAGATTTATGAGCTAAACTAAAGGGGATTGCTGGCATCTTAAAAACGACACTGTTTCAGCATTTGAAGCATCTCCATCTATCAGATCAGTGGTTTGCCATCAGCTGGTGGAGTTCTCACCCCTGGCTGATTGATGAGAGCGGAGGTGACCCAGGCCTCGCTGGCGATCCAGGTTCGGTTGGTCACATTGTGTTGGAGCAACTCGGTGATAAGAGGACTAAGGTCCACGTCTGATGAGAAGACAACGATGATCTTGGCTGTGGACTCAGCTACAGTTTTAACAATACTCTTAATGACCTCTGGTTTGCTCACCTAAAGTTCACACACACACACAACAAAAGAGCAACGTTATTTATAACATCGCACTGAGCAATGTAATGAGTAAATGTAGTGAAATATGAAAGGATTTAACTGAACACAGCTTACTTTGGGCAGGGTCTCAGAGAAGGAGATGCAGACGCCAGCTTCCTCCACCTGCTCCTTGAAGTCTTTGATGCCGTATTTGCCGTAATCATCATCAGCAGCTATGGTGCCCACCCAGGTCCAGCCAAAGTGCAGCACCAGCTGAGCCATCGCTGTAGACTGGTGCACATCATTAGGGATGGTTCTTAGAAAGGTGGGGAACTGGAACTTATTATTCAGAGCAGAACATGTTGAAGAATAGCTGACCTAAAGGTGAGAGGAAGAACAAGTTATCTCTTTTCTTTCGTTTATCTTAAGTCTATCTACATTTCTGGCTGACATTTAGTGTCTGACCTGTGGAAAATGATAAAGCCCCAGAATTCGGGCTGTAGCAATGGACAGATCAGAACCTCCAGCACCCACTAAGGCAGCAAGGGGTGGTCCATCTCCACATCGGTAGTTGGGTACCGCCTCATCTTGGCCTGTCAGGTAGGTCAACGTACCCTCCACGGCCTTGGAGATGGTGAAGCAGGAGTCGTAGATGACGTAGCCCAGGTCAGTATCGGGCAGCAAGTCGTTCTTCTTATTGATTTCATTGATGGCAAACAGCATGGTCTGTGTCCAGCGGAACGTGCGGAAATTAAATCTGGAGAATGAAGAGAGTTAAATCTGGAGAATGAAGAGAATTAAATCTGGAGAATTAAGAGAGTTAAATCTGGAGAATTAAGAGAGT